GCAGGGAAGTGTGGGCTCTGACTTAAAGGAGCTCTGTTAAAAATCAGTGATATCCCCTTCTAAAAATCCCCTCTTATAGTCTTTTTAAAGAAGACTATATGGTGTCTAAGCTGCATTCAGCCATTAGTGTTGCGGAAGGGATGTTAAACAAAATGATCCTCTCTGCAGCTGTCAACAGAAATGCCAGATATGACAGACCTCTCTTGTCGTGTAGATCTCGTGCAGCAGCATATGATTATAGAGAATAGCAGTAATCAGTGTTTCTCTCTGTGCTTGCTCAGCTAATCTCATCCCTCAAGCTGTAGAACAGAGTCAGTGTTTTTCACCTCCATCCATTAGAGCCAGATGGAGTTGTGAAGTTGATAGCATCAGCTTGGATTTATTGTCAGGAAGTCCAGGTAAGAACTTAAAGGTTTTTTATGTGCATCACGTACCCCAAATAAGAGTCTAGATATAAAATACCTATAAAATAAAATGAAAAATCAGAGTTAAGGGCCTATTGCATTATGTGCATTTAGACTTGGTTATTTAGAAATCTTCAGATGTATATATAACTTGAGGCGATTTTAAAAAGAGTACTGCATGCACATCTGAGGTAGAAAACAGCCTGAAATTTTACAGTTTAAATCTGTTACATATTAAAAGGAAAATATTTCCAGCATCTATTTAATGGCTCTGAATTCCAAACTCAACAAATCAGAATGCTTAGAATTTTACACATGCAAAGCACTTCATAAATGTTTATTTTCACAGACTTTTTGAGAGAAATTGCATGAAAAAGTGATTACTTTTTTTTTGCACCAAGGTGTGACTTAAAGAGAGTTTTCTCAAAGAAAAAAAAACCCTCCTGTATGTTTCAGGAGCTAATTGGTATTAGTTTGTTCAGTTGCAAATAGAGAAGCTTATGCAAAATGCGTTACTTGGGAGCACAAACTGAATTGGTGGCAGGGCCAGAATTAGAACATGGGATTCTTGACTTCACGCCTGTGCACATTCCTCCAAATCAAACTACTTCCTTGTGTGTGCTTAAGCAATCACTGCTGTGAAAAGCTAATGAACCAACTTAGACAAAGATAGCAGAGTGAATCAGGTAATAGTGCATTAGAAGGAATAGTAAGAGAAGATGAGGTAGGGAAAATGACACAATATTTCAGGTTACTTTGTCATAAGAGACTATAGAATATGAAGAGAGTCCCTGGCATAAAGATGCTGTGTGCTTAGTTAATGCACTAGTTTTCTCCTGAGAATGGGAGGAGTTTGAGAGCTGCTCTATTCAGAGCATTCCTGTGGCTCAGCCAAGACTTTCCTGCAGGAATGTGCATGCAGCTGCCTTCTGAGAAATGCTGGGACAGCAGGAACATGGGGCAGGACAGAACAGGGCCATACCTTCCTAAATGGAGCTATACTGCCTCTGCCAAGCACCTTCCATTATCATATGAATGCAAGATGATATGCTGAAAATTGTCATTGAAAGAGTATCTGAAGGCTGAAAAATCACTATCCTGGTTCCTTTATCAGATTTTCATGTCAGACATAAAAGTCAAATGTTGTAGCCCCTGGTCCCTGAAAAGAGACTACATAAGAAACCGATCTCTCTTTCTAAACATGAACTTCGAAGCTGTTTAAAACTTTGATGTCCATTTTATTCTTCTGATAATAAATAAGGTTTGTCCAGTGCTATCTAAGCATAAACAGTTTAGATGGCTCATGTTGCTGTCATGCCTTCCTTAGCTTCTGTTTATTTTGAGTGGTAAGTTGCTGCTCTTGGCTATTTGATAGACTGGCCTCACTCGAAAACAATCTTGGTGAGCCAACATGAAGATGGACAAGAAACTTTGCCAACTCCCACTTCCTGTAGTCCTGTTTGGATTTTTCCTTTGAAGGCCATTAGGTATTAGGCAATTTAAAACTGCTCAGAGCTGCTGTGTGCTCTCCCCAGAACTGTTTGCAAATCCATGGTTACCAAAGATGTCCTTGCAGGGCGCCTGCCTCACAGCAATGTGCCATGAGTGAACTTTCAAAGTGCTTTTTTCTCTCCTGGTAGTGAATAAGAAAGACTGACAGTATTGCAGACCAAAGTGACAAATAACACCCCTCAAATATAACAAGCTAAGAGTACTCTTTAACTTCTCTTTCAATTATGGCCTAATTAATTTGGTTGGCAAGTTGCTGCTCCTAACTTAAGACCTATTTCTAAAAATGAAGAAACCTAATCCATTAGAGGTATGAACAGTTAAAACAGGCCTCAGAAATGCCTTGCTTCTTTCATTTGCTAACCAATAAAATACTGCTTGAAATGCAATTTTCAATTCCTGCAGTGGCCAATTTATTGTTTGCTTTTATCACTTTCACAGTATGGAAATTCTGGAGGACCTCTGGTTAATCTGGTAAGTCTGTGGCTTACTTTTCAGCTGTTTGTTTTGGTTTTCTGTGTAAATTACTAGCCAGAGGATACACAGTGGTAGCACAGAGTGCTCTTATGCTAAATTGTAAAGGCTTATCAGTTATAGCAGCTGTCAGTCATGCAGGCTAACAGTGGGTACATATGCTGAGGCTAATCCAAATCACATAAAGTGGGTTTCAGTTCATACACATTTGAAAAATATTTCTGTGGAGACCAGAGGAAATTTTGCTCAGCGGGTGAAGAAGTGAATCTGGTGGGAGTAGCTGTGTTGTTTCTGAAACCTGGGGTGCAGGGCAAAGCTGAGATCTCAGTAATCCATCCAGCAGATTTTAGAATAGATTGCTTTAAAGCAGCACTGACTTCACCATTCAGTGAAGTGTTGCTAAAGTGCAGCTGATCACTGCAGCGGAGGGAGCCTCTTGCTGAGTGGTTGGAGGATTCTTGGATAAACAAGCTGTAGTGTAATCTCTTTGGCCATCATAGTTAAATATGAAGCAATGTGAATCATAGCCCAGATTCTCTCCTAGAAATAATGTGTTTTTTTTTTTTTGAATGATTACAAAACTTTAAAAAATTACCTCCACCATCTTTTAAAATACAATGCTAGGTAGTAAGTTGAACCCTACACATTAGCAGCAAATTAACTGATTCCTGTCTCTTCAAAGGACGGTGAAGTGATTGGAATTAATACCTTAAAGGTTACAGCTGGGATTTCCTTTGCTATTCCTTCAGACCGCATCACTCAGTTCCTCACAGAGTCACATGACAAGCAAAGTAAAGGTAAGGTCTGCGGGAAATAATGATGCTGTCACTTCCCAGTTATGATCTCAGTCTCAAATAATCTTGAGAACAAATGGTGATTTGGTGAAGGGGTCTTATCCTTTCCTTCCGCATATCGTACAAGCAAAATTCTTGGGATGTTTTTATCATATTTACTTCAATGACATTTCAATAGTTTTGGATCTACCCTTATGGTACAATTAGATCTCATGAAATAAGTTTAAGGATATTTCTATTTGGCTCTAAATACCATATTGCCTAAAGATGATAAAATTCCTTTAGGAAACAGCTCTTTCTAGATTCACTCTGGCATATAAGAGATATTCAGGATACTGCTCAAAATGCTTGATCTTAGTCTTTTAAGTCTGAGCTGATCAGATGACTACTAGTTTTATCTCCCTATCTACCAGTTTTATACATAAGGCATACATTTGTGAAGTCCCGTTCATTGTATACAACTGCAAATATATAATATTCTTCTGTACAGGAACAAAGAAAATAGTAGGATGAGAATGGCATTTGAATTATTTGGACTAATTTTTATTAGCCAAATGTTACACATTACCTAATATGTGTGTAATACCAATATAATACCCAATGTATTTTGACTAGGAATTTATCACACTCCAGAGATATTTATTCACTGAAAGGTCTGAAAATCTTTGCCAATTCTGGATTTATCAGTAATATTGGCAGCCTTATTTTATAGCTAGAAAATTTTAAACTGGTACATGAAGTTAAGTGTCTTCATCTCTATCTGGGTTTTAACCATCTGCATGTTTTTTCTTACTTCTGGAAGTGAGTCTAAATATTGAGGCATTGACTGACTTTACCTCAGTGTCTTTTGCTAGTACCTATAGGAATTTCTCAGTTCCGGTCTTAGGTCTGCCATATACTATGAATTAGGTCTTGGTCAGAGCAGTAAAACCACAGAGATGCTGAACACAGATCTCTGGGATTAAAGACAGCAAATTAGAAGTGTAACAGCATATTAGGGAGAAAGTCCAGCCAAGGAGGTCAGCCTGGCCTCTCATATAACATCAGTAGAAAAGTGAATAAAAACTATTCTAAGATGGGCAATGAGAAATGGGAGAAATCAGTACTGGCCACATTCAACAAATCATTTATATGCATCTGCAGTTACATCCTTGTAATGTTTTATCAGTTGTGGTAAAACTATTTGCTCACTTATGTATTTGTATCATTCTAATGATACAAATTTATCACTGCTCTAATCTATCTAATCTCTCTCTAATCTATCACTGCTAATTATTACCAGTAGCCATGAAAGCTGCTTCAGAGGCTTTCTGAGTATATGTGAAGATTCCTCATCAAATTCTGCTTTTTTTTTTTTCTATTTTTTTTTTTAAAGTAACGTAAATGGTGTCCTTACTGATGATTTTTAAAATGGCTTTCAGAACAGAAAGCTCCTTAAATAGTCCACTCTCTTTCTAGACGCTTGGAATCAGTTGCTTGTGACATTCTGCTAACACAAAACAGATTCAAGTTTAGACTAAGGGACAAGGCTGGTTTGCTTGACTTTGTGCTGCTGGCGTGGAACAAAGCACCTACATCAGTGTTTAACCTGGCCCGATGCTTAGAAGAGCCAACTGTGATCTCTGCATATCCCTGTGCCGTGCTGTGTTCCAGCTTCAAGCTGCAATGGTTTCCTGCCTTCTGAGTTTGGCTGTGCCAATGTATTAGTGTTCTTTCAACTACTACTGGGACTTCACGCTCACTACGTGTCCCTTAGACTTAAGGCCTCACTTTATTTGAGTTCTCTTAATGATTTTTTCTTATGCCTCATTGCACAAGCTGCCGAGGTGACAGGTCTTGAGGTGTTTTATTTGAGATGAGCAGGCATAAGACAAGAGCGGTAGTTCAAGGTGCCTCATACTGCTCTGCCAATGTCACTCAGCCCTGGCCTCAGAATGGCCCTCCCTTGGGATGAGGAAATGTTGTCTGTGCCCATTCAGTCTCTGCTGATATTTCTAATAAAGTCTACAATCATATTCCGTCTGCTCAATGCTGGTAAAAAAAAAAAAAAAAAAAAAAAAAAAAAAAAAAAAACTTTATTTTTTGTAAGATGTTTAATTTGGGTTAAATTTAATGGAACGAATTCTTGCAAAAGAGAAAGCCTGAAGTTCTCCTATGTGAAATCTGACATGGGAAATGGTTGGAAGGGTGGTGGTCAGGAGGAATGTTGATTCTACAGACAACTTCTGCGACTAAAATAATGCAACATATTGACTACTAGTCTCCCGTTAACTTCATAGCTTAATTTATGAAATAACTTTTTTATTGTTATAGTGAGACTCACTATTCTAAGTATATTAAACTTCAAAAATTGTGGAGAGGACTGAAGGCAGCTTTACATTTTGATGCATGAACGGGGAGGGAAATCATATCCAAAGTTGCCCCTAGAGACATGAGACCTTTAGTAGCAAATAACTCTATAATTGCTAGTTTTTTTTTTTTTTTTTCAAAGCCTTGTTTTTGCACGTGTCATCAGCCACAAGGAGAAAAATCCCCTTTAGATCAGCAGTAATTCTGCTTGTTCTGTGGTTTTCCATTCTTGCCCAATCTCCCCCTTGTTGTTTCTTCCAGATCAATTTTTGCCCATCCTTTCATTTGCACTTTCAAGTATCTTTTCCTAACTCAGTCCTCAGAGTACACATTATGCTCCTACATATTTCCACATCACCCAGGCCATGACCAGCAGCAAATTGTTTAACAGAGAAAGTAAATTGTCACCAGGCAGTCCATGTCATTTATATATCTCTTCAATTTGATTTGCAGACAACTTTATCATTTAACTATTTAACTGGGGAAAAACTTATTTTTAGCTGGCAAAATTAGAATGTTTGCCTTTTTTAATTGAAAATTTACCTTTTAAGGATTGGTGTGTGCTACATGGACTAACGAAACACGAGTTCACCAGTTCAGGCTCATGCCCAAGCTTTTTGAGACTTCAACTTAAAGTAATGGAGCCCTTACTATATCTGGTTTTGATCAGATTGATTTTAATCTAAAATATAGGAGAGCCAGAGTGTTTCAAGGAAAAGCATGCATGCTGACTGGGGATACAAGTTTGTCCAGAGTGTAGAAAATCTCATGTTTTACCACTCAGCACTGATTTTAATAGGTATATTAGACATGCTTATGTTCAGGATTAGATCCTTAGTTTGGAATTATTTTCTTGGAACGAATAAGAGTTAGAGGAGATTCTGCACATCTCCTTTTCAGTCTGTCTTCTTATATGAGAATATGGATAATCTCAAAGAAATTGTGAAGTAGTTATGCTGGAACAAGTAAGGGGAAATATTATTTAGTACCGCATGTAACTAACTACAGAGGCACTCTCCCCAGGAGGTTTTCAAAGTGCATTTGTTTGTAAAGCAGCTGTGCAATATCCTGACTACTAAAGGCCAGTTGCAGGAATATGTCACTGTTCTTGAAGGAGTGCATTTCCACCATTTAAGATTCTATAGAGTCCTGGTTAAGGTCTTTAACTCACTTTTCATTTTTGGGGGGAAGAAATATTGAGCTGCACTGGAACTTTAATAAGCTTTCAGGTTTTTCTCTACGAGGCCATCTTTTCTCTAAAAGGTAGAAATTTTCATTTCTTTAAATCTCATTCCTACATTGCTGCAATCTTTTACAGAGTGGAAAGAACCTTCTCTTACTCTCTCACTGGTGAGGATTCTCATTCCATGCACCACAGTCAAGCAAAAGAAAAGTTGGCATCATTGTTGATGTGCCTGATTTTTTTCTTTTTTCTTTTTTTTTTAAAGCTGTTGCATCTTTTTTGAATTGGCAGATCTTTTATATCCAACCATTTTTATCAGTTTTTGCCTAAATTTCTTAAATGTTATTTGCAGATGGGAAGAAGCGTTTCATTGGAATCAGAATGCTGACAATAACACCTGCGTAAGTATCTTGGTAAAGTAATTGTATAATTGGTCATAGAGTTAATTCCAAAAAGTGTTCAATGTTCAGAACTTCATTATTCAGCTTAGGTTATAAACCCCTACAGAATTACAGAATGTGGACATATGTGTTAGCTTCAAAAAGGCTTATGAACATTTTAATTGTATTGGTGGAATGTATGTTCTGAGCCTTGGAAAATCAGTCAGTGATTCAGTAAATACTGACACTAGTGAGTGCCCTGTGGGAAGTTAGAAGGAGCTTGGTTACTTTTTTTTGGTACTTGACTGGCACGTCTGGAGTTACACCAGGTTTTTGGCATAATTTTAAACAAACTGCTGCATTTACGTGACTGTGTAAGTACCAATAACAGTTTAGATGCCTGAGGGTTTGGCAGTAATTTTATCAGTGCTAGTGGAGGCCACATGTAGGATTTGGTATCCAACCATTAATTTGAAACAAAGCAGTTGGTAAAGAACAGAAGTAAAACTTTGTTTCTCCCTGTTAACCAAACCAGAATATGGAAACCCTCTTCCAGTTCTTTATTGCCTTTTCTCTCTCACACTGGTTTGTGTCTTCTTGTTACCCAGACGTATCCTGGCTAACATATGAGGGTTCTTATGCTCATGGCCTTTCCACCAGTAGGCACATTTCCAATGTGGCAGTAGACTACAAAATTAAACAAGACAATTTACAGCTGGGGTTGTAGCCAAAACCATCTTTATTTATTGAGTTACACTCTGGCAATCTGCCCCAAATGGTCAGATCCTCAGCTGGAATGAATCAGTGTAAAGGCATTCACATCACCAGACCATTACCAATTGAGAAAAATTCAGGATGTGCCTCTAAATACTGTGGTGTGAACACAGTGTGAGCTTCTACTGCTTCTGTTGTATGTAATAAAGCAGTGTAAGATATCTATAGGTTGTTTCTCTCCTTGTGTTTGTTTTAGACATTAAATTATGTTAGCTTCCTCAATCAAAACCAAAATGAAGCTGTGTGCAGCTATTGTGGCTTCCTTTCCATCTGAGGTACCCCAAATTCTCATGATGGACAGCAAAGTAATCCATTGTTACTATAAAACTCTTTGTAACTATAAGTGGGTTTTAACTCAACGGTATGCCTAGGTTTGACATGACGTTATCTCCTCAGAAATGAGAGGGTGCATTTAGAGCCTCTATTTTACAGCTGGTTGCTGTCATCTTTATAAAGATGAGCACAACCAATTTTATTTGTGAGAAAACTTGAAGAAGCTGAAGCACTAGTTTCCATGGAAAAATTATAATTCTGATCACCTGATTGATTACAGAAGTTGTTAAAAGCAGTGTTGTTCTACCTAAAGAATTGCAAAATAAAAGAAAGTCATTAGCAAATATCTGCCTTATCACCAATGTTAATTCTTTGGAGCAAGAACCACTTTCATTCCTGTAGAGTCCCTAGGACAGCATGTGTGTGTGGGAGGGGCTCTCAGTGCTACTGCTGCAAATGACACAAGTCAAGCTCTATTAATAGAAATCTATTTCTAGATTTATGGGAACATAAAATATAGCAGTTTTTGCACAGGTAGGTGTTTTTGACTCTTGAAATGTATTACTTTGGATTGGACTGTTACTTGTTTTATTTAAGTTTGCATTCTGTATGTTGTCAGGCAAAGAAGGAGAGGCAGACATTTCTCTATTGCATTATTTACCTGGGGGCGAGAATAAGAATAAAGGAATGCTTTCAATATTACTGATTTTATAACACTAGCAGAATTAAATGTTATATTATTTTGATCCTCTTTAGCTTGGTGGAGGAATTGAAACACAATAATCCTGATTTCCCCGATGTCAGAAGTGGAATTTATGTACATGAAGTGGTTCCAAATTCACCTTCTCATAGGTATGCAGAGCACATGATTTTCTTAACCATAAATCTATTTCCAAATAGGTATTCCTATTTGTATTCAAGCATTTATTCATAGCAGTCTTGATTTTTATTTTAAAACTTAAAATTTGTGCCTTTTGGTTTAAAAAAAAAATTAAAGTATTTGTATTAAGATCCAACTCACTTTTACAAAGGTGAAATATTTCTATTTCAAAACTTCTCAAATGACATCATAAAGCACTAATAATATATAGATTTATGAGTCAATTTTGTCTTTGAAAGGTAAATAATAATAAATAGAAACTTTGAGTTTAATTCTGAAATAGAATTGCATTCATGTTAGAAATTGCTTGAGTTATTCTCTGAGAATTATTTATCTCTGAGGAAGAAAACATTATACAGAAAAGCTGGAAAATAAATAGCACATTTTTACAAATTATTTTAGGAATCATTTAAAAGATACAAAGTAGGAAGAGCAGCCATTCCCTCTCACACTTGAGCAGCAGGAA